TCTGTTATACGATTCTGTTGTAAATCTCATGCGTGAATCGGACCTCCATCATAGATTCTAAACGACCATTGAATTTGAGTTCTTTAATGACATTAATCGGAGAGTCTGATTTTCCCAGCCGGGGTCCCCCTTGTCGATCAAGACTGCAAGGGCAGCTGGTCTAAAATCATAATTTAGAAGAACAAGAACCACTGCAAAATGCGACTAGTATTCTATTCGTGCGTACGGTGCCGTCTTCGGTGATATGAATTCTACTAAAACAAAAGATTCCACTCCTAACGGTACAGTTAATAAAATAGCAAACTGCAAAATAAATGAACGTAATTTTCTTAACTTGTTCTCACTATATAAATATCACTGTTGTTCCAGACTTTTTAAGGCTTCATTTAAAGGCTCTTGTTGTAACTGAATAATATGTCCCAATCTTTATTCTGGTCAACAAATTGTACTATTTTACAATATTCCAATTAATTGATGATACAAATAACACACCTAATTTAAAAAAATTGGAAAAATTCAACTAAATGATTTGAAAAGCCTGACGTAAAGTTTTTCAAATGTGACTTAGATTTAAAAATATTGTTGAACCCTCTGGACAAGTAAAATAGGATTTAATGGATAATTTACACAACAGGTAAGACACTAATACATCTAGTACTTAGAATAAGGCCATTTTCTATTTTCTGGAGCTGTCAAGCCTGCAAGAGTGTTATTGTCCCTTAAATACACGTGCAGACAGTATCACGTGCTGACAGTCATTCGGGACTCATATATGGTTCAATTTTTTTTCAATAATTCGCTTGCGCGTAGGAGTCTTTAGCAATGGGGTAGGGGGGGGGTCGAGTTGGGAGAACCAGGCGAAAACCATCAAGGTTAATTTAATACTCGTGCAGATATCACGTGCTGACAGTCATTCGGGACTTACAGAATTTGCTTGTGCGTATGTGTCTTTAGCAATTGGGGGTGGGGGTGGGGGGAAGGGAACCAGGCGAAAACCCAGGAGGTTTGGAGGCGACCATACCCCTTGTCACGTACAAGCTTGGTATCCAAAGCAAGCCAAAAAGCTAATATGTTATATACCACATTTATGTATTTCAATCCAATAAAATATATTTGAAAAAATTTTCGTCAATTATTTTTAAGGAATACCACTAAGTTTTGTTTGGGCTCCACGGCTGCAATTATTACTGGACCTGTATTAATAGAGCATATGTAGCAATATTCTTGGCACGATAATGAATCAAAATCGTTGACTTCACGTTGTGTTAGATATGAACATCACCACGGACTTCAATATGACTTCACGTTGTGTTCTATTACTACTAAAACCCCGAAAACAGTGATCTAATACATCGCAAATACAAATGTTACAAATATTACATATACGCATAAGCCTCATGATTCAGGAAATTTTGTAAACAATTAATGCAGAGTTGTATCTCTGAGGCAATCAACTTTCCCCTTCCTCCAAAAATCAGATCATACTTAAAAATTTTTATGTGCTAACAACATTTTATAAGAAAGCCGAATAAACCTAAATCGCTTATAATCAACAAGCCTCGTCATTTCAATGAGATATACAAACAATATCAATTTGTAGTCTCTATTATGTGAACGTAGACTAAAAATATGACTACAAATATTTTAATCTATAAACAAAACACTAAATATACACAGTGGTAAATTAATCGAATACAAATACACTGACATAGAAAAATACATCGATACGAATTGTACCATGAATTGTATTACATATTTAAAAAAAACCACCAAAAAACACCAAAATACCCATTAGATAACAAGGGTTTGCCCATCCTCGGTTTCCCTAGTGGTCTGATACCGTTCTACACCCCCATACCCTTGGTTCATCCATAGGGTATTCGCATTTTTATGTCAGTTCTTACTTATTAACATTTTTGTGATTGGTCGATGAATTATCAAGGGCAATGCCCCACCCTACCCCCGTGAATGAACCCAGGGGTTAGTGGAGTGAAACGGAATCGGACCACTGGGGATACCGAGGATGGCGTTTGCCATGCAAGATACACCCATATTTTTCTAGGGATGGACGAATAACAATCCCGCCATTGTCCCAAAGTTTCACGTCGAATATGAAAGAATAATCTGTTAGAATATGTACTGCCTATGGCTACAAATAGGGGTAATTCCGGAACGGAAGGGAACGGAACCCTGAATAGTGTTCGTCCTCACATGACCCTAATGCTTCACAGCAAATTTAAAATTAATTGGCTACGATTGCAGCCTCCATTGCGATCAAAGGGTTTTGAACAAAGATGGTAATCCCAGAACGGATGGTTGTGGAGTGCTGAGGGTTCGTCCTCTCGTGAATTCACTGCTTCACACCAAATTTTGAAATACATCTAAAGGGTCCACAATGTGTTTGAAGGATTACAATCAGGGTTAGTAACCCAGCCGATATCTTTGGGATATGTACGATGACATACTACGTCTAGATAGAAAGAGGGTACAAAATATTATGAGAAAAAGGGGGGTTGGATGACCGAATTGTTAGGTCTGTCATTGAGTCCCCAGTTTCTCCCCACCGCTAAAGACCCCTACGCGCAAGCGAATTATTGAAATAAAATTAAACCATATGTTAGTCCCGAAATAACCTAAATTGTGTCAGGTGGACGTTACCCCCCCACCCCCGCCCCAATCAGATTATGTCATTATAGTCTCCGACAATCTTAAAATGCAGCAAATCGTTAATTTGAATTTCATCTATTGTATACAATGAAAAAACGGCCAGACGATTGTGTTATTTTCAATGACCAGGAGAAGTTTTAACAAACCTCGTAGGCTGTCGGAGAAAGATGACAAGTCACGCTGTTGTCAAGTGGGTGTGGCTATGTATGTTTCCTCTGTGAATAAGTTCATTACATTTTGTCTAAATAGGAATAATAGCATAATGTTATTCCATCCAGATCAACAAAGACGCCCATGTGCCTCTAAAGACACTCCGATATATCTTAAAGAAATTCGTATTTATAAATCAATTACTTTTTAAATGTGAATACTTAAAATACAAATGGATTCAGAAACATGTCACGGAAGCATAAAGTTTTTAGTATACAATACCAGCGGCTGCCAGGCAGGATACATTTTCGAGAGATAATTCATGAAATTACAATTCGATATGTGCAAATATCGAAAGGAACCGAGATCTTTGTGTTATAAACTTACATTTCAAGTTTCAACAAAATCGGATAAAAATTGTGACCTCTATAGGGTCCACAACCTTGATATACCATATTTTTAGGCTATTTGAGAACGAAGGGCGGCCATTTTGTCTGTCAGTTTTGGGCCGATTTTCACGAGATTCGAACTCAGCCGTCCTTAGGGTGTGACGGTGATATAATAATACCTTTTTTTTTTAAATCGGATAAACATTATGACCTCTATAGAGTCCACAAGCTAAAAACGCGATTTTTCGTACAATCAGGGGCCATAATTCAGGAAGTTACGGTCCGATATGACCGAATATCGAAAGGAAAGAGATCTTTGGGTTATAAACTTACATTTCGAGTTTCAACAAAATGGGATATAAATTGTGACCTCTATAGGGTTCACAACCTTGATATACCATATTTGAACGCTAATTGAGAACGAACGGCGGCCATTTTGTCTGTCAATTTTGGACCGATTTTCACGAAATTTTAAATCGAATAAAAATTATGACCTCTATAGGGTCCAAAAAGCTAAAAACGTGATTTTTCGTACAATCAGGGGCCATAATTCAGGAACTTACGGTCCGATATGCGCGAATATCGAAAGGAACCGAGATCTTTGGGTTATAAACTTACATTTCAAGTTTCAACAAAATCGGATAATAATGGTGACCTCTATATGGTCCACAACCTTGATATACCATATTTTTACGCTATTTGAGAACGAACAAAGGGCGGCCATTTTGTCTGTCAATTTTGGGCCGATTTTCACGAAATTCGAACTCAGCCGTCCTTAGGGTGTTTCGGTGATATAATAATACGGTTTTTAAAGTCGGATAAAAATTATGACCTCTATAGGGTCCACAAGCTAAAAACGCGATTGTTCGTACAAACAGGGGCCATAATCCATGATCGTTAGGTTATAAACCTACGTTTCAAGTTTCAACAAAATCGGATAAAAATTGTGACCTCTATAGGGTCCACAAACTAAAAACGTGATTGTTCGTACAAACAGGGGCCATAATCCATGAAGTTTCGATCCGATACATGCCAATATCGAAAGCAGCCGAGATCTTTTGGAGATAAACCTATATTTCAAGTTTCATCAAAATCGGATAAGAATTGTGACCTGTAGAGTGTCTACAAACAAATTGTGGACGGACAGGGGCGGAGGCATAATACGTCCACATGAAAATGTGGGAGTATAAAAAACATGATGCTTGTGTGACATTTTACAGAATATATCAGGGTGGGCCAAAAAAAAAAATGTTACACCATTCTGATTTTACACTGATTGAATACTAATGGTCTCCAATAAATCAAGTAATGTTTTATATTCTGTAAAAGTTCACATCATTTCAATCTCATTGTCTTTCTTGCCTACATCACAGATATTGTTTTTCTTTCGTACATCACAGAAATTGCTATACACCTGGTTAATCATCGTTAGGATGTCAGACAGGACGATGATACCTAGAGAACAGAATAGCATGATGGCTGTGGTGGTGCCGATAATCGAAGATGATATTCTGGAGTCGGTTGCTGAATTTTTTCTACGTATTGTGGATGAAAGATTTTCTCTTGGCACTTTAAGATCTTTCTGTAGTGAAATGATCCTTTCCTGAACAGTTTTTGGCTGATTAGAGCCGGGCCTTATTTTGCAGTTACACCCACACAACCTCTTGAACTCTTTACTGGGCTTCTTAAAGGTAGAATTATTTGATGTATCAGCTGTTGTAGTTGTTGTATCTGTACCACCAGTTGTTGCAGGTGTTGTATATGTACCATCTGTTGTCATATCTATACCATCAGTTGTTGTATCTACACCATCAGTTGTTGTAGTTGTCGCATCTACACCACCAGTTGCGTTATCTACACCATCGGTTGTTGTCTCTACACCACCAGTTGTTGTATCTACAACATCAGTTGTTGTATCTACACCACCAGTTGTTGCATCTGCACCATAAGGTGTTGTAGTTTCTGTATCTGTACCAGTTGTTGTAGCTGCTGTAGTTGTTATATCTACACCATCAGTAGATGTATCTACACCATCAGTTATTGTATCTACACCATCAGTTGTTGTAGTTGTTATATCTACACCACCTGTTGTTATGTCTACACCACCAGTTGTTGTATCTACACCGTCAGTTGTATCTACATCACTAGTTGTTGTATCTACACCACCTGTTGTAGTTTCTGTATCTGTACCAGTTGTTTTAGTTGTTATATCTACACCATCAGTTGTTGCATCTACGCCATCAGCTGCCGTATCTACATCATCTTTTGTTGTATCTACACCACGAGTTGTTATATCTATACCACCAGTTGTTGTATATACACCATCAGTTGTTATATCTACACCATCAGTTTTTGTAGTTGTTATAGTCGTTGTATCTACGCCACCAGTTGTTGTATCTACACCATCAGTTGTATCTACACCACCAGTTGTTGTATCTAAACCACCAGTTATTGTATCTACACCATCAGTTGTTGTATCTACTCTATCATTTGTTGTAGTTGTTATAGTTGTTGTATCTGTACCACCAGTTGTTGCAGGTGTTGTATATGTACCATCTGTTGTCATATCTATACCATCAGTTGTTGTATCTACACCATCAGTTGTTGTAGTTGTCGCATCTACACCACCAGTTGCGTTATCTACACCATCGGTTGTTGTCTCTACACCACCAGTTGTTGTATCTACAACATCAGTTGTTGTATCTACATCACCAGTTGTTGTATCTACACCACTAGTTGTTGTATCTATACCACCAGTTGTTGTATCTACACCACCTGTTGTAGTTTCTGTATCTGTACCAGTTGTTGTAGCTGTTATAGTTCTTATATCTACACCATCAGTTGCTGTATCTACATCATCTTTTGTTGCATCTACATCCCCTGTTGTTGCATCTACACCACCAGTTGTTATAGGTGTTGTATCTAAACCATCAGTTGTTGTATCTGCACCATTTGCAGGTGATTGGTCTGCACCAGTGGTTGTAGGTGTTCCTGTATCAAAGTATTTTGAGGTAACGTACATGTAACAATGGCACTGTTTAATGTTTAAGATTACACAAACTATGGTTATCGTGCAGGGGGTATTTAAAATTGATTCATTAAATTTGGTCGGACATTTGAAGAAACCCTTAGTTACATTTGCTTTCCGTTTATAAAATCTACTGTTATAAAGTATTGCTGATCGTTAACACAATCCGATTAAAACTAGATGTTATTTTCGTTTGGTCATTCCATTGGCAATATGTGGCAATTTAATATAATGTTGGGCTTTAATAGACGACAACCAATCGAATGTTTTTGCGAAATAGTCATGTAGCAATTAAGCCGGTCCATAAACAAATATTAGTTTCCGCCATGAAAGATGGCGTCAACCATATAAATTGTTTACTTATGATATGAGACAGAAGGACATAAGCATAAGTAGTACGTCTGTCAGGTCCAGAAGGACATACGCATAAGCAGGACGTCTGTCAGCCCTAGAAGAATAAACAATGATAATCTCTTGTTTCTCCAGTGTCGATTTTACACAATCCTTTGTACTTCCAATTGCACGAAACACTCTTAGTAACAATGGTGGTCAAATTATTAATTGCAAAGGCTGCGCGGCAGACAAACACACGGACGGACAGACATAAGGAACGGATGACACATAGGCGTACGCGCCATATGAATGTTAGGTGTCAGAAATGAAAGCCCGAAAAAAAAATCCTAGATGAAGTCGGCGAACCGCACCTGGGGGCAGTATGGAGGACTTCCTCCAGAAAATTATTTTGAAGGCGCAAATAACTTCGTCGAGAGCTAGGGTATGCCCCCCCCCCCCCCAATGAGAAATGCAAACTTAGATTTTCGCGAACGTGTATCCTGCTATTCAAGTGGACCAATAGAGCTTTACTTATGTTGCTGACCTGAATTTCAATCCACCAGACTATTGTAATAACTGCATTCATCAAACACCAAAAAATGAACTTCACTCCAAATTAACGAAAAATAATTATGCTAATCCACTAAAATTGTCGTCCGTCTCCCCAAAATAATTTGAAAATTGGACGGCTGCAAACACGTTTTCCTGTCATTTCACGCAGACAGTACAACTTCAAAGTAGTCCAATATAGCCTTATTTATATGGGTTTTCCACAGAAATCTCATTCTTTGCCTCCCGACCTCCCGACCGGCTCGTACGACTTGACGTGACGACATACACCCATTGGGCTTTTAAGAATAAAACAAAGATAACCTATTTGTACTCCATTATCACTTGTGTTTCTGTATACACACAATCCTTTGGACTCCGAATCACAGGAAATCCCATCAATTACAATGTCGGGCAGCTGCGAAGCAACGACACAATGTTGTCCCTCTCTGGCATCATGCATAGCAAACCAATTCATCCTTTCATTGTCCATATTGTACCAGAATCTTGGATCATTGGTTATACCAACCCACAATTTGCCTGTATATCCGAAGGTTGATATGTTCTTTGATCTGTATAAAAAATGAAAATGACTACGTTATTAAAGATACATTATGGAATACTAAATAACGAGTTGGCGGTTCTCACTATAATAGTTAAAAACTAGATAATCTAAAGGGAATTTGCTGATAATTTCAGTCAAATTCATTCACTCTGAACTGAGATTGTAGCGATTGAATTTTTGGCCTATAGCCTCGATGATCATCGATACTAAAGTAGGTATGATAAAAAAAACATTGTCTCGATTATCCATTTCATGATTAAATCATGAATGAAAGTTGAACAACAAATCGGATCCTAATCGAGTAAATATCGCAGGCTAAGGTTGACATCGAGAGTTGATTATGGTCTGGATAAGTTAATAAATGTCTAATTAATAATTTAAGGCCTAAAGAAAGACCTGCAATAGGCAGATTTGGCTCTCACATAGTATATGTTTAAGTGATTTAACATATAGAAAATTATTTGAAGAAAATATGGAAATGATAACACTCTGAGCACTGTATTGGTGTACTAGTTGTCCTTTATAGCGCAGTCCACCTGCGTCATTGTCAATTAAAAATAATATGTATTTTGATAATTGAAGAACCATGCCTCCCACCCAACCAGTAAAAATAAACCCCGACGACATTATTGACACAATCTGATGTAAGGCAATTATTAAATTCTGAATACACAAGAGATAACATAGCAGCCTAATTAATCGCCATAAAAAGTAATCATCATACATTAGTTCGAATTATTTGTATTTCGTAAAATAATTTCAAACTTTGTAAGTTGGTTGTACCTACATATAACCCTTCAAATCTGAATCAGAAATTGCTAGACTTCCATTTGATCTTTGACATTCCATATGGGCGTGGTTAGCAGCATAATACGGCAACTCCGTAATCCAATACGATGCTTTATCTGTTAAATATACAAATCAGAAAGATAGAGTTCCTGGGGGTGGGGGGCGAAGTTCATATTTCACATAGGTTGGATTCAGTGCCAACTAGAATAATAATGATTTATCGGATACCATACCTCAAAAACGATGTTGTCACCAAGAAAATGTATTTTGTTTGGGAATATATACTTGTCGAAAGTGAACGTTTTCTGTGCTTTCATTCGTTGAGTAAACAAACCCATTCAAATTATTTTTGTCAATAACGAGACACTACTTGTGTAGCTACAGAGTGTTGGCATAATTGGATACCTTTAATAGATGAAGACCGGCATACGGATTACAGAGTGCTATTAGGACCATATTGCTCCGACAGAGGCGTTACGGCCTACTCATATTAAATTCCAACTTTCAAGGGACCTCGGGTGTTCGTCCCATCCGAAAGCAGGTCCTCTGTCCTGCACCACCGATGAAATTTCGCGGCCAACACTGTGGTCGAACACGAGATCTTCAGGTTGGCATCTGATAAAACTTAACACATACTAAATACAAACCTTGGAAAGACTGGCAGACACCACGATAAAACACGTCTTCCAATACACATCTACAATCACTAAGTGTATACGGGTTATCAATACCGATAATAGCACATTGATTATCTAGTTGATTTGGTTCACCATTAGACCATGGTAGGTCACTTAATCCTACCCCTTTCGTCGTATACCAGATTTTGGTTTTGACCAGGTTCACGTCGATCCATGTACTATCAAGTCAAGTAAAAATATTAATACTAATTACTAATATGGATAATCACTTGCAGACTCGAGAAGGAGGATCAGTCATATGCAAATTGCTTCAGTTGGGTTACAAATCGTATAAATGATAAACATAATTAGCTTGGGTGCTTACAATCTAAAGATCAAGGTTCAAATGTATTCTACCACTCTACTTGTGACGTGACATCACACGGCATCCATCATTGGCGTCGACAGAGCGTGGATTGTTTATGCCTTTTGCTCACTTTACGTCTTCGCGCATTATTATATGCACAGATTTACATTAATTATTACTTATCTAGATATACACCAAACAGCTTTATTTTTCTAATACTTCGAGAAAATGCTTTAGAATTTAATTTGCAGAAGGAAAAAATGCAATATTGTGAACCAATTAACTCACACCGATGTCATCCCTTTCAGTGATTGTAGCGACCTAGAGAATATTCACTGCTAATCTCACCAGTTTGTGTAAATTGTACATCGATTGTTTGTTGATATTCCAAGATCTTTTCGATTACGTCATGCTGGGTTCCCGATTCTTAAGATGCACTCGTACTTATACGATTTGCTAATATATGTGTTGTTTGTTATAATGAAATTATTAATAATTTGTTACTTACTCTGACGTAATAAGACTTTGGATCTGATTCTGTGTAATACTATCATAAATGACCACAGTCTGTTCACAATTGTCTCTAGATGTTACAGTGTACTGTTTTAACTCGCTGCCTACATATTTGTTATAACGAGAATAATTTGAAATAAGTACAATGGTTGCGCATTATGATTATAATGATAACGTTGAAAACTGAA